CTATGAGATATACTCAAGGCAGGTAGGCCGGTAAGGCTGGCCCCTTTGAAATCCTTTTGAAGCGTAAGGAAAACTACACTGACGATGCCTTTTATCTTAGCACCACACCACGCCTCGCAACCATGAAAATAGCTGAACCCAGGGATATTAATATTTCTAAATCATTCGGGGGTAAGGTCGTGTCTTTATGCGCATCATCCCCTCTTTTCAAGGCTCGCAACTCGGCTGTTTACGCAGAAACGTTGCCGCGGACAAATACCCGGGATTTAAGCCGGTTTCCAATTTAACCGGTCGCGTTGCACGCGCACTGCTGAGCAGTGATTACAGTTTGTCGGGAACTTTATATTAGTTTATTCGTTCTCCGTGCTAATAAAATGCCCATTCGTGGATCGTTTGATAATTCTTGACACGCGATGAATGACTTTCGTTCGAATTTTCTCATGTAGTATCTTTTCATCGATTCATTAATCTAGGATTGTAAATTTAAACCAGTGGCCTTCGAAACAGTTTCAGAAGTGCATTCAGACAACGAAATAATCTTCTCACTGTTTCATATTCTTAATTACATTAAAACATGTAGCTACATTCGTCATCCCTTTCTTCCATGAATACTTCGCATATTTATCTTCTCAGTTACTAACCATTACGATTAATCCATATACACGTTAAAATACAAACACAGCCACTAGGGTAGTAGCCTTCCTACAGTACAAACATGCGTGCGAACAGAGACGTACTAACAAGTTGTAAATGGCTAAACTCGGGTGTACGTGTTCGTGCACGGCAGACTTGTGCTGAATCAAAGTCAATTTTCTAAATTAGAAAGTCATGCGGCGCTCTAATTACGGAAATGCCGTTGAAGGTCGGAGACGAATAATGTACAGGGTGGGGCGTTACCTGCAGAAGATGCAAATCCATTCCGGAGTGCGACGCAGCGACGGGGAATAATGCAACTCCATGGTCGATCGGGAGCGGTTGCACCGGTTTGTAGGAATCGAGATCGAGGTGATAGTCGTTCTCGTCGCATTCTTCGACCATGTAGGTTTGCTCGATCGCAGTCGTGTGAATGCTCAGGGTGCGATGAAGCGAACTGGTCGTTGCATCCTTGCCCCGCGCGTGACGATGCTAAACAGAAATGCACCGGCCTCATGAATATTTAGAAACGTTTCGGCACCAGGATGTATTAATTTCGCATTTCTATTTCAGATGATCGACAGAGACATCCCTGGATCCGCCAATACATTCTGTCAGCGGATTATTTACTCCGCACGTGAATTGCGTTGTTCCCCATTATCAGATTATACATTTATAGCCTTTCCGATGATCGAAAATTCAGCGTGGAATATTAGTTCTACGGAGGATATTGATTCAAGCCGAACGAGCGTTTTACTTAATTCTTAGCACTAATCCAACCGAACAGTTAAATTGACTTTTCGAAATTCCTTTATGGCAACTTCGAGGATACTCCTATCGAGACTTTAATTAATTTAGAATTTAGTTCGCGTATTACTAAATCAATTTCTTAAATAATTTCTCAATGAAATATTTGTTATCTTTTTAATAATTGCAAAAAGAAGAAGTCAGGAATATGTCAACGGGACGGAAGTTCTGATATAGTAACCAAGTTTCTTCTTAATACACATTTGGAGAAATTTGGAGAAATATATTTTTGTAAGCATCCAATTTGTCGTTTATACCTTAATATTTCCATGGGATATTAAAATAAAACATTTAGAAACAAACTAGACAAAGAAATATTTACAAGAAAAAATATTAAAAGTACAACTCGATAGAGTATTACCGTTCCAAAGCTTCGATATATTAAAGTATTAAACCTAATCATTTGTAATTCGATTAAGAACTAATAATTCATTGACATAAACATACTTTCGATTTATAAAATTCATATATATTTGGAAAATACTAATGTCAGTGTCGAAGAATTATTTCCAGCAACATATCCAGCCATGTTGCTTTTTACACTCATGTTTTGGACTCCAAAACTTCACCAGCTAGATTTACGCGGACATGTTAACCATTCTCACATATCCGAGTGTGAACAACACGTTAGGCACGACTTCGTGTCTACGTTGTGCCAGTACGTCTGTAGGTTTGCGCGTTCTGTCTTTCAAACGTAATAGCGTAGCGGAGTGACAACGGGGGCGAGGCGACTGGAGATAGAGCCGCGGGCAATTCCAACGATGTGGTGGCAATAGCCCTTTAGCTAGCTTGACAGCTCAACTACTTCTGCTTCTAGACAATGGTCCTTGCCATTGTGAAGCACCTAGCAGCGGACTTAGATGGAAGACATTCGGTGATGAGTAGATAAGAAGAGGTTCGTTTGTGAGTTTTTCCTGCGCGGATAATGGGGATCAAGCGTGTGCCTTGGCAACGCGATGAGCAGACTACACACTAACATAAATATATTAATAATTAATTCATTATTACATTATGCATTCTATGCTAATAATGTGTTTCAAAGGATCAATGTGAAAACATTGTAACTGCAGTAGTTTCTATATTCTAGGTAACTATGTGGCTACACGTGCCAGTACATATTATTCAATGTTATATCAGGTATATTAAAGTTCAAAGCCAAATATTTATAGCGAGCGTTTTCCAATGAGAGAAAATAGAAATTTTATGATTGTCTTAGACTAGATTTATTTTTGAACCAATGACATTTAAAATTGATTTCTAATATTGATTTTCTTTGCTCGTATGGATTGCTCTTTTGTTTGTAACATCGTTTATAGTATTTATTATTGAATGATAAGTATTTTTCGGAGATATGAATCCTATTGTCGTACTGTTTTCATAATTGCGACAAAAGTAATCGAAAAGACCGAGTATCCCCGTCAGAAGGAGACAATGCAAGCGTTATAACACTTTAGCGGGCGTTATCCCGTATACGTGACTTATCATATATACATATTCAGTGGTTATCAGTCGCCGTCACGTCTGCGTGATTTTAATCTTACGTGCAGTATTCCATCGTCCACTAAACTTATCTCACGTTTATTTAAATTCAGGTCTTTGGTCGTATATTTCTCCGGGTAGGTACCTATCTGTGTTCGTGTGTAATATCTCGTAATAGATAATCTAATCGGAATGTAGACAATTTGTAAATAAAAGTACAATTGGACAATGGCAATGCGACTTCATAACGAGTTTTGTAATAACTAAAGAAAATGGTAAATTTTAATTTTTGTATTATTTAATGATGTTAATTAATCTAGTAATATTCACATTGACTTTTTTCGGACTTAATTATACCTCATTCTGCTTATTAATTTGCAATCGCAGAATCTTGAAATTCTTATATAACAATTAAAATGAATTTCTGCTCGTCGTATACTTTTAAAACTTTTACGTAGCCAACGTTTGAATTAAGATTGATATAAATTGAAAATTTTCTAAATATTCAAAATAATTCATTTCCCAATTTTCTCCAAAAAAAAATCGTAATATCAGATATGAGAACGACCAAGGGACTGATTTTACCTTATGAAATTCCGCGACTTTCTCGAGGACTGAGTTTGCATCACGAACTGGAGTACTCTTCTCAGGTTGGTCCAAGGAACTGTTTCTTGAGTTGCATTCCGACGGCGATTCAGCGATAGTCTCGATTTTCGTAAATTGCCTCGCGGACGACACGTTCTCAGGATCGGCATCCCTGTTGCGAGGTGGTTCACGGTAGTCCTTGCTTTCCTCCTGAGGCTGTAAAAAGAATCGTTTTTTTCCACCTCTATTAATACTGTATCACATCAGCTAAAATGGAAACAATTTAATTTTCAAGTATATTGAAGAACTTCAGAATAAGTAAATAAATCATTGAAACGTAAAAAAGAGTATCTAATCATGATATGGTACATCTTTATGAGAAATAAATTCCATTGGTATAATATCCAAATCCTGGAATGACACGAAAGTTCACTTTCATATATGCATGACACAATTCTTCCACCAAAATTGAAAAAATAATTTCTCCAAAAGTTTTATTTCATTGAATAAATTGTTTCAATGTTGTATCTTGTGCTCATTTAACGAGCCTGTTAATATATTGAAACAATATCGAATTCAATTGTGTTTTATATTTGACTTTGCTACTAGCGTTCGCATCACGCACGAGAGAATAAAGATTCGCAGTTTAGTAATCAGTATAACCTGTGAAAATTGAATTCGTCGAAATCAATGACGCGGAAGAAGGATCTGTCCGTTTGAGCGCTAAGCAAAACGCGAAAGCTGCTTCCATCTTTTTTCTCATTGGCGCTGATAACATTACAGCGCCAGCGCGATGGTCCATTCGCATGATCCTCGGGGAGGATCTTTGCTTAGCCGTTGGCTAAAAGCTCTTGGTGTTCTCGGAACCGTATTAATGTTAATATACGCTGCCGATCCCTGTCCCAGGCAAATAGAATCTCTCGATTTAAGAACGCGGGAGACAGGAATCGAGCTGAAATAAAGGATTCGCCTCGATAGGCTACTTCCCCTTTTTTCCATTTGACGATATTCATTTGGTTGTATGTATTTTACTTGCCCCCTTTTAAAGTTTAAAATTACTTGACCTACAATCGATTTCTGTTCTTGGTTCCTGTTAATATTCTAAGATTGTTATACAAAATTCAACGGTCTATTCAGAAGTGGTCATCGAATTCTTTTTTACTTAAATAAAAATAGTGGAAATGTTGATGTCCTACTTGTTATCTTCTTCAATGTATTTTTTAGTAAATGTGAAGCATAGTAAGATATAAAATTTGAAATATGAATCATTAAAATGTTATAAATATTTCTAGAAACATTTATTTTATGTATTAAGTATAGATACTTAAGTCATGTAAGTATTTGATATCTTAAACTTTGTCTCATTGTGCTTCTTCTAATATTAAAAAATATCACATAGTATAGTTTATAATCGAAACTCCATTTAGAGGTAAAATATTTATATAGGCTAGCTTGTGAATAGAAACATTATTAAAGCTATTTGACAGACTTAGTCGCGCGCACGTATAAATTCACAATGATCAGACATATAGATTCAATAGACGTTGGACGCTGAATGTGATCGGAAACTAAATGGGCTAAAACCAGGATTGATTGAACTGTTTCATGAATCGAGCAAGCCACTTCAGGAGTTGACGAAACTAGCGACTGAGCTGTTTCAAACGTGGTGGTCTGCATAAGTTGCCTAACAAGGAAACTTCGGTAAGCTAAAAACCCAGAACTCTTTCGAAAGTTCGTGGGTTTGTTGAGGACTGCAGTGGAAGTATCACGGAATTTTCTTTAGCCTTTTTGGTTCTTCGGGGCGAAGACAAACTAATGTGGGATTTGCTACTCTTCCGCGCGCTAGGAACCGGTATAATGGTTACGACAGTTGCAAATGAGTTTCTTAAAAAACAACGAAAATTTATGGCTGTCTCGTTTCACGAGTGACTTTATGCCACATGAAGCGAATTAAATAAGTTCCTCGTCAGTGTCACCTAGAGGGAAGCAATACAAAGTCATACAAGTCTGACAATTTGTAATTTGAAAATAAATTTTCAAATAAATTTGCAGTTCAGTGGAAACGAATATTTAATTCATAATGATAAATTCGAATTTGATTCAATTTTAGATAAAGTCTATAAAATATAAAGTTTCAAATTGTACTAGTAGTGTAACTAGTACAGCCAAAATTAGAAGAAAACTCGAGTTTATATTTTCTTTGTACTTTATCAATTGCCCGGCAGTCAATGCTATGTATCTTGATGTAGACTGACAATTGAAGACGATCAATCTTTCTCGGCTACTACAGTGTCCACAGCGGTTCGTTTCTTCTGTCTGTACTCCGGTGAAGGATTGCTGGAGTTAAGTGAGAAAGAAAGCGGATGTATATGCAGTATATCAAAAATGAATTGTTTCCGAATAACAGTAAAGAACACAAGGAAATATTTTATTGGTCTGTGAAAAACGATTATTATGATAGATTGTTCTTCCTACTGTGATCTAGTTCTTTCGTTACTGACCACGCAGTACAAAATCCACTTTCGTTGGGTTATTTTGAAGAATCTTTTTAATGTTCATTTTGTATTTACAAACTTTATATGATTAGAAAGCTTTAAAATTATATGATTAGAATTTTATAACTTGTATATCTTCTTGAATAAATTAATCGTACATGATGCAGTTTTAAAAGACATAGGATCAATAAAATATTTTTATAAAATCTATTATATGTATGTTTGATTTAGGAAGCTTGAAATACTGATAAATTATATTTAACTCTAAGAAATTATTGTTTGTACAACGATAATATCGAAGATGCTTTAAGGAGAAATATTATAATACATGTCTGACATTTTGAGTCTGGTCGAAATTCGAAGTTGTTAACGAAACTATGGGACGCACTTTGCGCCTGTGGAATTACCTCTAAATCCTTTAGATTTACAACCTTCGTCTGGTATGTTTTCGAGTTGACAAAGCACTTTGTCGAAGGCATTAAGGTCATTGAAACTGAGAATCCCCTCTTGCAGGGATTGGTCGCTGTCACGATAAATTTTATGTTTACGACGGAAGAAAGATATACAGGGTATCTCGCAATTAATAGTACAATGGAGGAGGAGGACACGATTCGACGTGTAAAATTACGTTTTGAAAAGACAATAAAATATCTTCACGTCAAACATCGTTTTCAAGAAAATCTAATTTTGAAGATGGTGATCTTAGTAATTGTATTTAATTAAAAATATTTTATTACTCATGAAATTCACGGTTTATAGATTAAACTGAACTAAAATACTCCACAATCTATTGTTTCGTAAGTTTAATTATCTAAACTTGATACCTTAAAAACATTATTCCTCTCGACTTACAAAAGGATTCTATAATTTTCACCAGGAAATCTTAAGAAAGAAGGTTCCAAGGAGTATATCCTAATCAAATCACAAAATATTGTTAACAGTAGTTTATTCACTTACCTCGCGTTTAATGCGTTACGTCAGAGTCTGTTTAGAAGATTAGAATATCAATTGTGCTTCAAAGTGAATCATAACTGCTACAATTCTATTATACGAGAACACTGGTCGAAAATGATTAAATTACTGTCTTTCGATTGTCTCTTCCTTTTGTGAAACATACAATTTGATAAGAAACTTCCATTTCTCCCACGACAATGGGTATGGCGTAATCCAGCTTTATTTAGGTTTCGGCTCGATGAAATAAGATTACGAAACTGGCGAATGGGTCTAATTAGGCGATGACCGATAGTCGGAAGATAACAGTCGGAAGCTCGAAGTTTGTCCCGATGGTACCGCCGCCCATTTGCAACGTATAAAGACTTCATTGTAGCGAGTATTCGGCTTAATTACTTTGCGTTATGCTGCGCTGATGAAACATAATAAAATCATTTCCAGGTAAAATATCTCACTGGCCATTACACGTAACGTATGCACGTCGGAAAATTTCATTCGCATTCGAGTGTTATGCAACTCGCGATATCGAGCAGCGGTGTGTATTTAACACGAGGAAAGTTTATTTATTAATTCATTCGCAGCTGGCATTTGCTTGTGGATTCACTTTTCTCAAGTGGATTGTCGCAATTAATAAACTTTCATTCGTAAGCTGATGCTGCACTGTTCTCCTGATAAAATACAGCTGTAAAGAGATTGAATAATCGTGATCCAAGAATAAGACGAAACGGTATAAGCATTTTCTTAAGGGTATTTCTAATACGAATAAATCATTTTCAGTTTACGACAATTTCCTTAAACTAGGTTTACGGACTTGTATTTTACAATTTATTCTGTTGGTTCTAACAACGTGGATATCCATTCATTTGGATCTTGGAAGTTAGGGTTTGAAAATAGACGATTAGAATATATATTCATGAAAATGCATGAATCAAAATCGACATAAACATTTAGCAAATAATGTTTAAAATTCGCGTCAAACTGATACGTTCCGTAAACCTAGTGTTAAGAAAGTGAAAGGTTTTGTAGTTAGTAAATAAATGTTTATTTCTCCCTAACATTGTATTATTCACTAAAATATCTATTCAAGGGAATCACAGATTTGAGTGCTTGGAGTCTTTGAAGCCGACGGTCATTAGCAACAAGAGCAAGTAGTTTCCGCCGGCCTACAACCATCATTGCTGCTGGAGGCCGATAGAAACCCCTAACCTTATTGCCATGTGTATTTCTCCTTCCTCCTCAGTTCTCATCGCTTCGTATTGGAAAGAATCACAGTGGAAGATCAGATTCCTATTTTCCGCTCTACACAAAATAAAAGTACCAACATTCCTTTAATCGATAACAGGTGATTCTTACCTATATCTCCAGGGAAGCAGGTGAGTTACATGTAGTTACGAAACGGTTTCTTCTGGTTTACGTACATGTACTTTGGAAATGGTTTACTTTGAAAATAAACTGTACTTCTTGAACGTATTTCAATGATGAATTATAACTTGGTATAAGCATCGTCAAACAATATTTACGTACTATAAAATAATCATTTTATACAATAGAACCGTCTGACGTGAGTCAAGAATAAACTAGAACGCGAAGCGTCCGAGCAATACAAATTCACAGAGGTCGTAAGAATCCTCGAGAAGTATCCAATAAATTACGATGACGAGCTTCTCAGCGAAACGTCAGTTACATGTATCAAAATAAAACCACCGCTTTCAACGATCCACAACTGTTCAACTTTTCATATTCTCCCGAAAGGGAAATACCTTTAATCTTGCAACCGTTCCGTGGCGAACCGTTAAACAAGGATTTAATAAAAAAATCACAAAGAGCGAGCCAGCGGACTCGCGTTTCCCAGTTTCAATGACTCCGGCGAGGCAGCGCGTTGGTAGCCCATAACGGTGTTTCTTTTTCGTTTTAAAGTGGTCAAACGAAAGGAAAGGGGTCGGTAATTTGAGTAGCTCTCGTATCTCCGGGCAACCTTTGACCCCGTTCGCTGCTCGTATTCCATGGTTCGACGCTTTCGTCAGAGACACGGAGAATGTACGGATTTTATCGAGGAACTTCCTTGGCTGGATGCCAAATCGTACGTGTAGCTCACTGTAAAATCATTCAATCCCGCGGATCCCACTCTTTTCTCCTATTTCCGCTCCTTCCCGCGCGGCGTTCGCGGCTGCATTTGAATAAGTGATAGGAAAACGCCGGCTCGTCGAACATTCGCGCCGCGTGCGAACTGTTCAATGATTGATTCTCATTATTTTTTCCACGAAAACGTAGCGCAACCGCCGTTACCCGCTCCGTCATGTCGGTTTCGAATTCATGGTTCTCTGCGTTAAGGTAGGGCTCGCCAGCTGCTTGTCAGGCTCTATCGAATCAGAATGCAGCTTCGTAGTTTTCCATTTCTTTTTAGCTATCTTGGGATTTTTATGTTCTTCTCTGTGTCTATGTTATAAATACTTTAGAACTGAATTGTATTCTCATAGACGAATATGGAGAAATTAAGATTATATGGAATTGTTCCTCGTTCATTGTTATCGTGAGTGTGTTAAAAATAAAGGGAGACTGAATGAAATTGCAGTCTATCATGCATATTATAATTTCTTGAAGATTTTCGAACTCTGTAGAATTCATAAAGTTCTGCCGTTTATGTTACGTTCCACAAACTAACGAAGGTCCATCTAATTAGTTCGTTTTTGCGAATATAAAATTTATAAATATTGCGATAGAATAATATACTGTTTCTATTTAAAACAATCGAAGCTCAAGAATCTGAATTAACAAATAGATATTGCAATAATGTACTGTAATAATATGCAGGACAGTGGCGATCATTTTGTATTTGAAAAAGAACAGTCGCGCCGCGAGTGTCCATCAGTTTGAAAAATTCGATCGCTTTAAACAGAGACATTCAATTGAAAAAAGCGACGCGCTCCGAGCAATTATTTAATATTTTTTCAGACAGCAGCTTCCGTTTGTGTCGCGGAATTGTGTTTGCACTGTATAAAGCCAATGGATTCGAATTGGCACAGTTTCCGAGAGACGAAACAGCAAATAGAGATTCGTTTACGCCCCGAGATATAAACTTCGCTGGTGAAAATCCACGGTGCACGACGACGCGACACAATAACGGCTAAACAAGGCTTTGTTTTAGCTTCGGAACGTTCGCGGCCGTCGTTAGAATTCCCACAATGATCCACGCGAAGAGTTTCAAGGATCGGCACACACGCAAGTCGAATTTAATGGTTTACCTTGGACTCGGCAGCGATGATGTTCCGCAATTCCTTGAGAAAAGGTCCGAAGAACGGTATCACAGGGCATTCCGGCATTGCCAGTGCGCGGGCGAGCGCGTACTCATATTCAGAAGACAAAAAGGCGGAGGCCAGACTGTCCAAAAGTGGCCGGGGCTCGTTCACAACTTGCCAGAAAAGCTTCAGATTGCTGGATCTGTAAACAAACAACGCGTTCCACATTGTTAGCAGGAATACTTTAAATCTTCGATCGATTTTTTAACACGATTCATACAGCAAAATTCTGAAGTATAATATTTAATGTTAAGTTTCGTATGATGCGTTAATATGTGAAATATTAAAATAAAACAGCCTCTTTCTTTAATTTATGCACGATTTCTCGTTAAGTTAGATTGAAGAAACGTTGACTATATTTCATCAGAAAGTGTGTTGAAGATTTTCGGTAGAAAACTCTTGGAGTGTAAAGGGTTAAAAATACTTGTTTGATCAAACAAAAATAAAGATTTCTCGTTTGTCTTCTTTTATACTATTGACACTATTAACTGGTCCAATGACCGGTTTTCAAATTCAAGTTAAATGATGTCAAACGTTTTTTAAATTAATTTCATAATTAAGTCAAATGACCGGTTTTCAAAATGAATCTAAAATTCGGCGTCTTCTTTCGTTCATTTAACTTTATATCCATTCCTCTGTTTTCCGATTAATTAGTTTTTCAATTTTCGTCTTTCCTTCTGCTGCTATATCCACGAAGAACAATTGTTCGTCAAACTTATTTACTTTTATTCTGTAGTCAGTTATTTAACTGGTATATATTATTAATTAACAGGATCACCCATCGTCACTCGAGTTTTCAAGATTAACATTAAAGAATTACTTGCTTCAGTGAATATATTACAAACACATTATTCCTAAAGAAATAACACTGCAAAACCCATTAGCCCACATCTAATTTTATTTTCAAATAAACTTGCACTGTGTTTAAAACAATTATCCCTTCGTTATGTTCATTTTAAATAAAACGTGACTGAGCTCTTTTATTTACCATGCGGTATGAGAATCACCTACACTAAAAACCCCAAAGTATTCTAAAAAAAACGAGCTTTGCACCGAGAGTTCCATGGTCCAGCACATGTGACCTTGTCGCTGAGCAAAAATTTCAGCGATCCGTTTGATCGCATAGCTCTCGGAGCCGAAGCTCGAGTGGTATCGTGAGGAGAGGGTGAATTACAAGTGCATATACCGAATGAAACGCAGTCATCGAGGGAAACCGTCGTGTATAGAACGACGATGGTTTATCTTCCTGTTCGCGGTTCCACGGACCGCTTCCGGTTTTACAGTGCAGGTAATAAAAACTGCTTTATTCCCGCATTCCTCCGCGAACCGTCCACGCGGTGGCCACTTAAGGGAAACCTTGTTCTGCCGGCAAACATGTGAAAAAAACTCGAGACCTTTTTAATGACGGCTGGAGAGGCAGGCGTATCTAGAAGTGCGGGAGCAATGATTTGAAAGCGGTTCAACCTTTTCAGAACGATTATTGCGATGCTTGCGCGTTTGCACCTTTGACGACGAAACCGTTCCCGCAATGCCGACCATTTAGTTGAAATATAATGGCACTCCCTTTAATGGCACTTTCAAACCGGGCTCCCTTCATTCAGCATTCGACAACGCGTAATAATAAAACAGCGTACGTATCTCGCGCGATATCTTGCTACAATTGACGTACATTTATATTCTTCAGCCTTTTATTCGGAGTAACTTATTCGCGATATTATTACGACAATGTTTATCATTTATTCTTTCGTATTAAATCATTTTGAAATTCTACGATGGACAGTGTAACACTTTGACTCGCGTGTTACTTGAATTCGAGTGACATCATTTTGTAGATAAACTTGGAAATTTAGTTTTTTAATCAACGTATCGAACGAACTGAATTTTTATTGGATGCACGAGATATAAGAAAGATAGCAGAACGATTATCGGGAAGAGTGTTGACCTTTTACTGTCTACTTTATTAACTGTCCCGACTGGATAAGAGTTTTGATGTTTACTTGGCAGTCGAAGTGATAATAGATCTGTAACTCATGATTATAATTGGAATTTCATTCGAATAAAGAACGTGTGTAACTAAATTCGTTGTTATTTGAAAAGAGCTCAAAAATATAAAGTAACGTATCCTTTGTAATTGTTATCTCTGATTTAACCACGGGTTGCAACCTGTGTTATGGAGAGAAATAAATTGAATATGTAAAGCGTATTTGTTCGGCAGTAAATTTGTCCCGATATTAAAATATCACTAGGAAAGGAGGATTTCATTTAACTGGAATAACCGTCGGTTAAACTCAGTAATTTCCGGCGTTGAATGATCCATTGACCGGCAAAGAGTCCGTGAAAAATCGCCGGGGAAATGGTCGGGATTATTTTTCGCGAAGTTCACCCTTCTTACCCTCGAGTGGCCCGCCTAGGTAAAGCGGAAACAGTTTCGCCAAACTTCCGCCGCGGAAGAACGCGGTTAGAGTGCGAAATGATTTTAGAAACTGCGCGACGAAACAGAAAATACGTTTCACGGGAAGCTGCGACGCCCGACCGACCGGCGCGGCGTTGAAATTTCTTTAGAGTGCGTTCCCGTGCCCGAGAAATAATGCATGCACGAAAATAAGAAGCACGGCTTGGGAGAACCCGTCGCATTCCATAATGCATGCGACCTCGGATGCACAGGAGATATTAACGGCGAAGTCCAGTGACTATTTGTATTCCGAAGGATTTACAGCGTAACGCTTTTCCTACAATTGTGAAAGCGGATAAATGTTTCAATTGTTTGAAGTACCATTGGTTTATACACGCACTTTGAAATTAATATTGCACTCCAATGCACTGGAATTAGATGGGAGAACTTCTTATAATTTTTGTATTAATGTTAGTACTGTCGAATCAAGTTGGCAATGAATAAAACAATTGAAGTGCATAAAGAAATATGAAAAATGAATGGAATAATATTTTATGTCAAGTAATTTTTTATGTCATCGATATTCTGTGAAAGTAATTATTTATATGATGAAGCGTGTTATGTTTTGTGTCTTGTGGTTTGCAACATAATTATATATCTAGCTGTTAAATTTTGCGCACATGTGATTATATAGAAACTTTGCCAAAACTGAATTTCATGTTGACCCTTTGAGTGGAACTATCGAGCTGTGCGTGTTCTCAGTGTGGATTTCGCAAATTATTTTACAAATATGCTGTATCGCTACTAAAATAATTTTCTGATTTTCATAAATAAATTTCATTGAAGCTGTAATATTGTAATTGTTTTTAAAACAGTAGCGTCCATATGGTCGTGGCAAAATTAAACAGCGTAAGCAGGATCGTTTGATTCAAAATAAATCATCAAACAAAGGGTTAAGAGTTTAAATTAAATACAATCGATATTTTTGTTGAAGGTACCGTTAATAGAAAATCACGTGAACCATGTTGTCTGCTATTTAACACTAAAACTACCAGTAATTAGAGTGACTTACTTCCAATTTTGTATAAAAATTAAAGAAATACGTTCCTTCAGATTCGACGGGTCTGCTAGTATAGTATCTGTGAAAATATACGAATCTAATCGAAAATTTCCTTCAAAAACGTCTTCATAATTTAAATACTTGCAACATAAGAATTCTGAAGCGGGTCAAATTGACCTGCCCAGTAGTTTTAATGTTAATGTATCGAAGGTGTTTCCACAAACGCGAAAGCGGTTCGGTTTCGGTCATTCTATTAATGTTATTATGTGTGCAATGTTGCCATATTTGCATAAAGGACACATGATACTTGATAAGCGTGAAACCAATATGTGCACACGCGTATCAGGGAAATGGTATTGTTGCATCCGTTTGCTTTACGATTCTGTTATACAATCTAACGTTTTTCCCCTGGCGACGAATTATTTTATGGTGTAGTCGGGTCAGCTTTATTGACGGTCAGCGAACCTTCTGTATCGTTCGAATTATTTCAATAGGATCCGTTTACAACGAGATTGAATCGCAAAAGCTTTACATAACTTTCAATTAATTCCCCTCCTCCGGCCGAAATCGATTAAAAAGGTTTCCCTTGAAACACCGCCATGACAAACGCGGTTTTTATGTCGAACAGTTTAAATTACGAGCTTCTTTGTGCGCGAACATACGTACACGAAAGGATGGGAACTGTTTGTAAACACGATGATTAATGGCGGCGTTGTCGGCAAACGCAGCTTAGTTATTTATCGCTCAATTAATTAAGGAACGTACGCTAGTTACGTTAAGATTGTTCTACAATATTAATTATACCTAACTAGCTTACAACTAGCATTTTGACTGTTGAGCGCTTAAATGGTGACACTGTTCCGACCACTTCGTCTAATTTCAGGAAATAGTTGAGCTACTGTTCAAGACCATTATATCTCGACTACTATATTCTGCTTAAATAATTAATCGTGAACTCTTTCTGAAGATAGACAGAAATAAACGATGCGAAATAGATACTCACTTGAGGCCGCCGATAATTTCCATGGCTGAGTTAAAGTTTCCGATGTTCCAACAGGTTTGCGCCACTCGAAGCAAGCATGAGAGAACTGCCTGTTTTTCTTCTAATGTTGAGCCGTTTAGTATCATTTGAGCGGCCCATGAGCTTACCTATGTAACAAATAACAATAATTTGGAAATGAAAGAAATTGAATAGTATGTATCAACAGAAATTAAGGAACGAAAACATACTCTTTAAAACCTTTATAGACCTTCAGAAGTAGCATTCTAATTTTAAGGTTAGGAAGAAGGATCAATAAAGGGGAATGATCTCAGATCGAAGAAAGTAAAGCATTATTTAGAGTCTACCGGAAATTTTTATCCGTCCTCGAATTAAAATAAAATAACACATTTTCAATACATTTGTTAACCCATAGCTCTATGATTTTTACTTTATTTTTACTTTATTGTTAATAATTCAGCAGGAAAAGAAAAAAATTTGATTCTTATTCTATGTCTATGTTTAATCTTACTCCAAAGATTAACGATTGATAATAGAAAAGTAATGCTTAACTTATATTTAGAAAAAATAAACGATACTTAGATTCCTCGAATTTAGTTGAAAATTTTCGTCACGAGTCTGACACGATATTGTAAGTCAAGAGGTTAATATTTACTTAACAATACAATTTCCATTACTAATATCCTCTTCTCAGCGTAATGGCAATTTGTGGATTCCATTTTCGTAGAATAACTCATCTTCGGAATATTCAGATGAAATTATCAGACAAAAGTTTCCGGTAAACCTAATATCAGAAAATAAAAATGAACATTCCGAACGTCTCACCTCATTAAAACGATTGATGAGCGTTTGAACGGAGGAGGACAGGTTGGGAACAGGCCAGTTCGACTCTTCCTCGGTCTGGGTCGAGTTGTTGGTGGTGGTAGGAGCGTTGTAGCTGCGACTCGGCGACGGGGGTGGCCTGGCAGGTGGGTTCTGCGTGTTCAGTTCTTGCACCACGTGCCTTAGGTATTCTTGCGGAGGTACCTGGTAGAACAGCTGGTACTCGGTCTCCGTCAACCTGAGCGCCACCTCCTCGGGGAAGTGCAGCAGCTTGTGCAGATCCTCCAGCTCCTCAGAGCTCCGAGGCGGCTGCGGCTGCGGCCGCTTCTCCAGCTCTAATTAAACAATGTGTGAAAACTAACGCGAACAGGATTGTGCCCTGGCTTCTGAGGAAATTAATTTCTCTCAGTCAACATCCCGCTCTATCCTACTTCTGTTAAAACTAAGTTGTATGAAGGACCAAATAAGGAACAGTATTGCAATTGTATCCCCAGCGACCAGAAATGAAATTTTCGACTGTACTTCGTGCTGGTGTAATTAAACGATTGATTGCACGTGTTTGTACATTTATTTATTTTTGCGTTATAATAAATTTCAGTTTGTTTTTGTGTATTTATGTTAGATAATTTTATAGAATTTTAGTTGGTATTTTAATAGGAATTATTTTCTAGTGGAAAGATTGTTGAGTTGGGACATGGGATTAATATTGTTTCTGGAACATTGTCAGACGGAATGGTAAAAGATTGCGAGAACAGCAATAAGTCCATTTTCGAGTATCACGGTTCCGGGAAAAATAGTTGCGGCGCGTGTAAAAGCGTCCGCGTAAGCATCCCGAAAATTGTAAATCTGACCTATTTCCAGCGAAAATAATTAAGATTGGCGCGACTCGTTGAACCAGACGTGCACGGGCATAATACATGTTCGCGCAGACTCGGAAAATGTGCCAGTGGCATCCGTGTGGGGCGACAAGGGACTTCCGAGTAATTCGACGTATCCGGGACTGTTATTAAAGCAATTCGTAATCTTGAGCTGTCTAGATTTGAATATAACACCACCACTGAATTGCGCGACGGTGCCATTCATCATTACTAATTCTCAACACCTGAACTAGTTATATTATAATACTAATTATCAGACACATTTATCCATAAGATAGATAAAATCTAAAAAATGAAAGCCAATTTTATTTCTGTTGAAGTGTAATATTTATCAAATAATATATTTTTTATATACCAATCTCCAATCTATCGTATCACGTAGCATCATCAAGCAATGGTTATTATTTTACTAAATAACTATCTCGTGAAAATTAAAACAGTTCTATAAAGACAAAACCATGATAATTTAACAATACAAAATTTGATAGTTGTAAACCAAGTCCACTGTTGATAAAATAATCTTCAACCTCTTATTAAATTAATTTAATAATCCTTAACACAAATGTAAGGAGAGAAATACCTTAGTAGGATTTTAAAATGGTTAATTAAAACTAAAACTACCGATCAATGAAATTGACTTCTTGAAATTTCTCTACAGAAACTTCAAGAGTGCATCTATTGAGAGCTTAGTTAATTTACCATTTAACTTATGTATTGTCAGATCAGTTTCATTAATAATTTCTCAGAGAAACATCTATTATCTTTTAATAATTGCGAAAAGAAGAAATGAGGAATGGGTCATTTTGACCCGTCTGTTAGTTTTAGTATTAAATTGTTCGCATTTACATAAGCAGTTCCTAAACGAGACTAACTCTTCCCGCGCCCGCATTCATAACAATTATAAACGTACGCTGGAAATCCGCGTCTATCCTACACAAAGAAGATTTATTCCAATTATACATTTCACAAAAGTATTTATAAAACCATTTCAAAGTGAACCGAGGAGTATTCACATTTAACAAATTCAATTTAACCCTTTGCACTCCAGTGGCGCCTCTCAGTCGTCAATTGATTTGACACAGTAAAATTGTAAAGTTTGATGTCTAACATTAAATTTTGTATAATGCATCAATATGTGAAATATAGAAAGAAAATAGTTTTCTTTCTCAATGTATGTCCGATTTCTCATGAAGTCAATTTCAAAAAATGATCATCTGTAGCTCAATAGAAAATATTCAATATTTCCAGTGAAAAACTTCTGGATTGCAAAGAGTTAAAGTCACCGTGTGTCTGGCTCGATATTACGAGGCAAGGAGTTGAAGAGGTCCTGTTCAAAAGTGCGATACAATTTTCGGGCTAACCTTATCAGGTAATGGTTCGGCCACGTGGGGTGGAGGAAGCGGAAGTGGCTGTAGTATTCGCCGTTGGCGGTGATGAAAACGGCGCTTCCACCCGGGGGTGGAATCGCCACTGTTCACCGTTGAAATCAGCCCAACGACCACGTCGGGTAATCCCCACGTAGTTTTGCAGCCTGCATCAGGATGGCTCCATTGACCTCTATCTAGAAGGATCACTGGAACAATTTTCACCTTCTTCCTCGGTCTTCCCGTTCCTTCCTCGCCGCTTAAAGATTCCCCCGTCCCCTCACCCCGGCTGACCTGGAAATTAAAAAGATAAAGATGCTTTAGCTACCTGTTACCAGGACAAATTAAATCGAGATTAGCGGGAGGAAGATCGTAATCGAAGAACAGAGAAGAGGGGCTGAAAATATAACACAAGGGCTGGGGTATTATTCCTTGGTTGAAATCGAAACTCCAATTAATTTCCTGAATGAAGCATGAACTTCAATTATTTCTCCCAAGTAAAATGTAGACTTGAATTGTTCCATGAATAAAGTCCGAACTTCAATTGTTCCCTGAATAAAATGTACGGTTTAATTATTCCTCGGGCAAAACGGGAAATTCAGTTGTCCGTTAAACAAAGTTCGGTTACGTTCCGAGTGAAATGTAGACTGCCATTCATTCGTGAAGAGAATTGTACTTCGATACTGGTATTCCAGTGAAGGGTTTTATAGAAATATTTTTTAAAGGGTGTATAAATTCAGAGTTGTTTGGTTCCTCGTTGTACGTATGTGTCTCGAGTTGATGGTGTAATTTAACAGAATAAATTAAATAATTTGATTTACATTGTAATGCTCATTAATGTTATTAAATTGATGTGCGTATGGTATGTTAAAACAATACAGTTCGTGTATCGACATTCTCGGTAATACGGCGGAACAATGCATTATTGTCTTTACTTAATTCAGTGTACACGGTATCGTTAGTCAATACGTTACTCTGTTATTATGTTGTGTATCTAGAATTCTGTACCTCCAGGATCCGACACGCGCCTCTTGACAAGAGTGAACTGATTGCTGTGTCTTTATCAATAGAGCTAATCGATCTTACGACGTAACGACAAGTGCAACTCATCTGTCCATTGAATACAATGTATTTACGCTATTTACATGAATCAATCGATATTAATTGCTATAAATAACTTTCAAATAATTATCTACGAAAATGACACGTTGCATCCACTTTCAAAGTAATATTTTCCTAGATTAAATTTCGAGGAAACTCCTTCCAGTAAAATTTACAATCTCATTTTTGAGGTTTAATTTTCCTAAATAGAGTTTGCCATTAATTGCCTTCTAAGAAAATGCAAAAATAGTCCGCAATTACTTCGCCCGTTAATTTCTCCCATGGTTTCAGCAAATATTGCGGGCAGCGAAAGAATGCAATATCTTTTGTGCGCAACAGGCCTTTGCTGCACAATGCCAATATCAATTAGCATCGTAGCTATTATCGCAGAATTATGTAGCTAAATTTAATTGCGACGTGAATGGCGGCCAGTTTGTCCTGTTATGGAATTGCCCGGTGATATGCCGCGCGTTTGAGTAAACGGGTAAATGGAAAATTACCAATCGACGCGAAAGGAATAAATTACAGGGTAACACGTTCCACCGTCGAAAAGTGTCGCCGTTCTATAGAGGATTTCTCGTTACATTTGGGTAACGTCGGCAGTAACTTTCAGAAAGCGGCGCCGTGTTAATCCTTGAAGCGTCGAGGGCCTTACTTTGGAGCTACCGGCGAACTGTCGTCGACAGAACGCAATGGTAAATTTAACGACCCTCTGAGGGGCAATGTTAATTTCTGTTTCGTTGTTCTTTCTGGCTTAATCATCGCTGCTGTAGCGCAACCGTCTTCCTGGAACTTTCCGCGACTTTCCGTGGAAGCGTCGTGAATTTCGTCAATAATTTCAATTGCGGACATTTAACTCCTTCCATACCATAACTAACAATGAATTTTTTTATTGCATTAAACACAATTACTGTTCGTTCAGAAATTTGTTGGAAGAGCTTGAAAGTCCTGTTAAAGAATTAAAAGGGTTCTTAAATATTAATAGTTGGAGAACTGAATAATAATTTTTGTCGTTTCAATGTTAAAACAGGTAAGTACTGCTGATCATATTATTTAAATTTAAATTTGAATAATTTAATTCGAACTTTAACTATACAATTCTTTATCCTTTAAAAATCTTTCACCTTTAATTTAAAGGTAGAATCCTTTTTCTGAACATACCTTCATTATAATTAGAGATTTGGTACATCATATAATCTACATTTTTATTGTACATTGTATTAGAGTCTAGCAATATTTCAGTTGTAGAATTACATACTAATAAATAAGAAAACTGTTTAACTATTCCTGAAAAACTAGACATTCATAAATGAAAATAACGTTCACAAGATTGCCCGTGATTTGTCAAACACAATCTGTACCGTCCCACGTTTCTTCGCAATAAAATCGATCTCCCTAATCGACTACAAGGGCTAAGAAGTAACCGGCACATATTAAGATAAGCGTTTCCATAAATACAACTCGTTTGCTCGCAGGTCGATAATCGGTCGTCTGGAAACCCCTAAAGACGAGCTTAAACGCTGTGTAACCATTATTCGTCGCCTTAACGTGGCGACTCGTAATTCTAGCGAAACAAATTCCGAAGAATCCAATTTCATATCTATTTACATAGGAATTGAACCTTCTCAAATAGTAAAGGTACGTTTCAATTTTTACATAATGACCACTCATAAAAACCACCCTTCAAAGGTTGCACCTATTTTTGAATTTCTAAATTCAAAATTCCTCTTTACAGAAGCCTAACATTTATTTAATATTGAGACTTTAATGTTTAGACTGAATTTCTTCTAAATTTTAAAAACCTTTACTTCTAAACATAAATGTGTAAAATACAAAACGATAGGAATTTGAAAAAAATTGAATAATTTCGTTTTAATTTTCAATTTATTAAACCCCTGATCCTCTTACGCTGGAAAAACGTACGACGCATGTCGACATGAATTTGTTCCAAAATTGCCAATAACATTTTACACACATCGATAGCATTGTTG